GTACAGGTGTTCATATAGTTTTTTATATATTCAATTCAACCTGTCTTTTCAACCTTGTTTTGATATGAAATACTTAAAATTTCTTTTCAGACCTATTAGCATTTTAGAGAACATTTTCTTACTAATTTTAATATGCAACTATACACACATACACAGTCAATATATATGTAATTTATACTATTTAAACTATGTCTTTGAATCCTTTCTTAACTTTTAAAAATGTAAAATCACCAGTTGTAGCTTAAAGTGAAAAGTGTTAGTCACTTAGTCATGTCCTACTCTTTGTGACCCCATGGACTGCAGCCTGCCAGGTTCCTCTGTCCACGGGATTCTCCAGGCAAGAAGACTGTAGTGAGTTGCCATTTCCTTCTCCAGGGGATCTTTCCCACCCAGGGATCAAACCTGGGTCTCCTGCAATGCCAGAAGATTCTTTACCATCTGAGCCACCAGGGAATCCCTTATTATTTTAGTTATCCCAAAATTTCAGTCTGAACTTGGGTATTAAATATTTGTATTTGGGTTTTTTTTATGCTTCAATATTTTGTAATTAGAGTGTATGGATCTAAATAATTCTCCCTGCAATTACTAGCTAGCTGCAGTACCAGCTACTTTTTCTCATACACCCTCACTGGGCTTCCCAGGTGGTACTAGAGGTAAAAAAAACCCACCTGCCAATCAAGGAGACGTAAGAGACAGAGGTGATACCTGGTTCAGGAAGATCCCGAGTAGGGCGTGGCAACTCACTCCAGTATTCCTGTCTGGAAAATCGCATGGACAGAGAAGCCGAGAGAGCTAACAGTCCACAGGGTTGCAGAGTTGAACACAACTGAAGCGACTTAGAATGCACGCAAACACCAGGCAGGAGACTTGGTATTTAAATATAACTGTATTTGACTAATAAAAAGAGACTTTTTTAGGTAGGTCTAAAATTTAGCTTTTTAATTTTTTGGTCAAAAGCAGGACTATTTAAATGTCTGACTTAGAGGAGTTCCCTTGTGGCCTAGTGCTGCCATGGCCCAAATTTAATCCCTGGTCGAGGAACTGAGATCCTGCAAGTCATATGGCATGGCCAAAAATAAAATCTAATTTGGACTTTTGGGTTTTGGGGAGTTCACACTCCTCCATTAAGATTCCAGTAAGTACTGTGTTATTTCCTCACATAAATTAAGTAAGAATTACATTTCCCTGAGCTTCAAGGATCTCTAAGGTGCAGTATCTTGTCTAGGATAATAGTCCTCATTAGAGATTATGGTCTATCTAAAATATTGCTGGCATACCAATTCTATTCTAAAGAATTTATAAAGTTTCTAACCATAGTCTCATACATGCATATCAAATATGCTAATACTGTCTCTAGGCACTTCCTGGAAAACTACAGTACCTAAATTCTGACAAGAGAAAGAGAAAAACACTTAGACCAGTAAGCTTTTGAAACCTGAAGTTATCAAACCTGGGGAAGTTTCATGATCTTGATAATATTATTATTTACTTTTATTTGGCTTTGCTGGGTCTTCGTTGCTGCTTGGGCTTTTCTCTAGTTGCAAAGAGGGGCTACTCTCTCTTTGCAGTGCTTCTCTCGCTATGGAGCATGGGCTCCAGGGCCTACGGGCTTCAGTAGTTGCAGCACACAGGCTCAGTCGTTGCGGCTCCCAGGCTCCAGAGCACAGCCTCAACAGTTGTGGCGTGTGGGGTTAACTGCTCCATGGCATGTGGGATCCAGATCAGGGATTGAACTTGTGTCTCCTGCATCAGCAGGTGGATCCTTAACCATGGAGCAACTAGGTATATGTGTATGTGTGTTAGTTGCTCCCGACTCTTTTAGGATCCCATGGACTGTAGCCCACCAGGCTCCTCTGTCCATGGGATCCTCCAGGCCAGAGTGCTGGAGTGGGCTGCCAGTTCCTCCTCCAGGGGATTTTCCTGCACCCAGGGATCGAACCTGGGACTTCCACATTGCATCACCAGGGAAGCTCCATAACCTCAATTATATATGTAAGCCTTTAAGTAAGCTCTTGTAGGGGAATCATTAACCTCAATAAAAGCAGGAAAATATAGTACATTCTCATAAATTAGTGCTTAGGTTAAGCTGTGAACAGAACCCTCACTTGAGTGTGTATCTTACAGGTCCAGGCCTGAGAGACACAGCCAAAGCTGGGTGACGGATGCTCCTCCCAGGAGGATTCATATATTTTACCTCAGCCAGTACATAGTTCTCACTGTTGCCTCGAATCCTTTACAGTCAGAAATGGCATTCCTCAAATTGTGTGGTTAAACAAACTAGCTACTGCATTTACTGAAGACTAAATCTAGCTAGTTAACAGTAAGAACAAGTAGCTCGGTCCTTGGTCTGCAGTCTGACCCTCTCTTCCTGTCAAGACAGTCAATCTCAGTCATAATGACGATAGAGTGAAAGAATCAGACTGTACACCATGTTTCATTTTTATCTGCAAGGATCTTTATTTTACTGGTCCATAGTCTGACAACTGTTGCAAGTGAGTTCAGATACAGAGTCAAGTTTTATGAAACTAAACGTCACATTCTAACCATTGCATTTCCAACAACGTGAATAGAATAAAAAACTGCCTCACTTTTTTGTCACAGAGAAAAGAAACGTGTGTACACACACACACACACACACACACACACACACACAGAGCTGTCACATGGGGTAGTGGTGAGGAGCAAGGAACAATTCTCAAGACAGCTTGTGTTGTCTGGCCCATGCAGCATGTAGCACGTGCCTGAAATCAGGTTTTCCCTGAAAACCTTACCCTTCTTTCCAATAGACCTACTCTACAGTTAGTCATATTATTCAATATGAGTAACATTTAATGCCTTCAGATTTCCATTGAGCAAAAAGCATGTTTATATACTCTATCTCATTTAATTTTCATTTAATCCATCAGTGTTGCTGAGACACAGGTAAATAACACATTTAAAAAAATCTCTTTGTTTGATCCATGTTGAGTTGACAGAGAGAAAGTCAGATGTCACTCCTCTTTTCTATACAGCGCTCTCCAGGGACTTCCCTGGTGGTCCAGTGGTTAAGAATCTGCCTGCCAGTGCAGGAGACACAGGTTTAACCCCTGGTCCAGGATCTAAGATCCCACATGCTGCAGGGCGACTAAGCCCACGTGCCACAACTACTGAGCCTGCACACTCTAGAGCCCGTGCTCTGCAACAAGAGAAGTCACCACAACGAGAAGCCTGCACAGCACAGCTGAAGAGAAAAGCCCATGGGCAGTGATGAAGACCCAGCACAGCCAAAAACAAAATTTTTAAAAAATTTTTAAAAAAAGCTCTAACCTAGATCAATGGATAAAGAAGCTGTGGTACATATATACAATGGAATATTATTCAGCCATAAAAAGGAATGCACTTGAGCCAGTTCTAATGACGCGGAGGAGTGAAGCAAGGCAGAAAGAGAAATATAAACATCGTATACTGACGCATATACATGGAATCCAGAAAGATGGCATTGATGAGTTTATTTTCAGGGCAGCAGTGGAGAAACAGACATTAAGAACAGACCTAAGGACATGGGGGGAGGTGAGGAGGGAGAGGGTGAGGTGTACGGAGAGAGTGACATGGAAGTTTACAGTACCATATATAAAATAGACAGCCAGTGGGAATTTGCTGTGTGACTCAGGAAACTCAAACAGGGGCTCTGTGGCAAGAAGGGTGAGATGGGGAGGGAGATGGGAAGGAGGTTTGGGAGGGCGGGGACATGGGTGCACCTATGGCTGATTCTTGTTGACGTGTGACAGAAGACAACAAAATTCTGCAAAGCAATTATCCTTCAATTAAAAAATTAAGTGGCCAAAAAGAAAACAAAGCTCTATCCAACTGTTCCCTATAGACATCGAAACCATTCTTTTCTCAGTGTTGTACATTTTTTCATACCACTTGCATAGAAATGACAACATTATAATACAGTCAGTATCTGCTTCCCACATTAGAACTGAGTTCTGTAAGGTCAGAGGTGCAGCTTACTCATGCTTGAATTCTCTCAGCTACGGTATGCTAACTACCACATATTAAAGCCTCAACATATTTTTTCAGAAACTACATTTCCTATATGAAATGGAAAGGAGATACTTACTTAGACACCATGTGTGCATGTACTTAGTCACTCAGTCATGTCTGACTCTTTGCGACCCCATGGACTAGACCACCAGGCTCCTCTGTCCATGGGATTTCTCAGGCAAGAATACTGGAGTGGGATGCCATGCCCTTCTTCAGGGGATCTTCCCAACACCATGCACCACTATTAATTGGGCTCCTGATAGCTTAGGTCAATACAATCTTGAAAAGCTAAAATGGGAATTCTGGACTGGGAAACTATGGTTTTCTTGGGAAACTAAAAACTCTTGAGACTATCCTCCTCTTATTGGTCACTACAGTTCAGTTGGCACCATTTTTGAAACTGTAAAGGACTCATTAGACTTTTCACCTAAACAGCAAAGAAATGTATTTCAATTCCTGTTCCAACTCCAGTCAACTGGTGATGGCTGCCTGGAGCTCTGATTTTTGAAGACACATTCAGCCTTCATAGAATTAAAGATATGTGCCATAAAAAAGAGACAGAAACTTATGGGAAGAAGGGCATGTATGACATACATGTGTTATCCCTGCTCTAAAGGAAACAGGGCATGGGTTCAGACAAACTGAATACTTGTAGAGTTCTGTGATAGAACTATTCTCCAGCATGAGGAGAACTGAAGATGATACAATTTTGACTTCACAGCTGAATTTTGTTGGCTCTTGATGCTATGTCTTTCTAGAAAGTAAGTGCTTAATCTTTTTTATCTAAAGACCTCTGCAAACAACTACTGACAGTTATTGCTATCATATCCACATAATGCACTGACTAATATAACAAAACAGAAACCAAATCAATGTTCATAAACAAAAATGAAGGGCTGCCCTGTCAGTCCAGTGGTTAAGACTCTATGCTTCCACTGAGTGGGGCATGAGTTCGATCCCTGGTTGGGGAACTATTATAGTAAAATCCCACAAGTCGTGCAGCATGATTTAAAAAAAAAAAAACTGCAAATATGGAAGAGTAATAAACTGCCAACATCTGCTGGATCATCAGAAAAGCAAGAGAGTTCCAGAAAAACATCTACTTCTGCTTTATTGACCATGCCAAAGCCTTTGACTGTGTGGATCTCAATAAACTGGGGAAAATTCTGAAAGAGACAGGAATACCAGACCACCTGATCTGCCTCTTGAGAAACCTGTATGCAGGTCAGGAAGCAACAGTTAGAACTGGACATGGAACAAAAGACTGGTTCCAAATAGGAAAAGGAATACATCAAGGCTGTATATTGTTACCCTGTTTATTTAGCTTATGTGCAGAGTACCTCATGAGAAACACTGGGCTGGAAGAAGCACAAGCTGGAATCAAGATTGCCGGGAAAAATAAAAATAGCTTCAGATATGCAGAAGACACCACCTTTATGACAGAAAGTGACGATGAACTAAAGAGCCTCTTGATGAAAGCGAAAGAGGAGAGTGAAAAAGTTGGCTTAAAGCTCAACATTCAGAAAACTAAGATATGGCATCTGGTCCCATCATTTCATGGGAAATAGATGGGGAAACAGTGGAAACAGTGGCTGACTTTATTTTTCTGGGCTCCAAAATCACTGCAGATGGTGATTGCAGCCATGAAATTAAAAGATACTTGCTCCTTGGAAGGAAAGTTATGACCAACCTACACAGCATATTGAAAAGCAGAGACAAAAAAAAGAAAAGAAAAAAAAGAAAAGCAGAGACATTACTTTGTCAACAAAGGTCTATCTAGTGAAGGCTATGGTTTTTCCAGTGGTCATGTATGGATGTGAGAGTTGGACTACAAAGAAAGCTGAGCACCGAAAAATTGATGCTTTTGAACTATGGTGTTGGAGAAGACTCTTGAGAGTCCCTTGGACAGCAAGGAGAGCCAACCAGTCCATCCTAAAGGAAATCAGTCCTGAATATTCATTGGAAGGACTGATGCTGAAGCTGAAACTCCAAATCCTTTGGCCACCTGATGTGAAGAACTGACTCATTTGAAAAGACCCTGATGCTGGGAAAGATTAAGGGCAGGAGGAGGAGGGGACGACAGAGGATGAGATGGTTGGATGGCATCACCAACTCAATGGACATGAGTTTGGGTGGACTCCGGGAGTTGGTGATAGACAGGGAGGCCTGGCGTGCTGGGGTTCATGGGATTGCAGAGTCAGACACGACTGAGTGACTGAACTGAATATTTTAACCACATGACGCTTAACTCTGACTCTTAACTTTTTATAGTGAAAGCAACTATTTAGAATTTCTGAAATGACAGGAAACAAGCACTTGGGGAATCTCTTCATTGTATCTAACCTAATTAAAGTATTGAAAGGTAATTATTAAGCTACAAAATATATATCTAGTGAATATTTAAATTCACATATGACTATGATTATATAACATCTGAAAATAAAATTGCTTACCTATTGCCCTGGGTTATTTGAATTACCAACTGTTGGTTACCAATGTAACCAAGTGTTACATTATATAACTACAAGGATTTTTAAATTAATAATATGGAGCTTTTTAAAAAAAGCACTTAGAAAACACTTCTTCTATATTAAAATAATTACGTTTTCTGTATATTATTTCTAAGTCATTTGTTTTGAAAAACACACGCCTTAATAAAAAGATCTAAGCCATGTTACAAAACCTGGGTAAGAAAAAATTATATTTGAACCAATCAGTTGGCTCCATCATTAGCAGTTCAATTTTTATTGGCCCCTGGTGGGAAAATTACACCCAACTAGAAAAAGAGCTTTATGCCACTTATATAGAACTTTATCATAATTGTAACTGCTGGGTTAATCAATGGACATAAAAGCAAGAAAGAAAAAATAACTAGAAAGAAGTTAGTCTTTCTCCTCATGCTTTCTAAGACAGGGAAAGACTAGCAACTCTAACAGGGAGAATGCTGAGCACTAATGACTAGGCTAGGCTGTCACCCGCTGATAAAGCTACAAGGAACTGGACATGAAGCGCGCCTGAAGTGCTGCAGAGCTCAAAGTGAAGGTGGCACTCGCTCAGTCCTGTCTGCCTCTCCGCAGCCCCCATGGACTGTAGCCTGCCAGGTTTCTCTGCCCACGGAATGCTCCAGGCAAGAATACTGGAGTGGGTTGCCATGCTCTCCTCAAGGGGATCTTCCTGACCCAGGGAGCGAACCCTCGTCTCTTACATGTCCTGCATTGCCAGGCGGGTTCTTTACCACGAGCGCCACCTGGGAAGCTCAAACACCAACTCAAAAGAACAATGAAAACTAAATTTCCCTCACTTAAGCACACTCCAGCTGCAGTCTAACAGCTCAAATCACAAAAATACAACCACCTTATGGCAGTTTATCACCAAATTATACAAATACCTTAACAATCAAACAGCATTGTGAGCTCGGACCCCATAAAAGTACTAGAAGATTTTACAACATAAATATCAAGAGCTGGAAAAAGGAGACACTAAATACAAATGTGGTATTTCGAAAAAGGCCATGTATTAATATATGATTTAAACTTCTTAAAATTTCTTGTTTAACTTGTATTTCCATAAGTAAACACAAGTTTTATTTAAAACAAAAATATTTCTTTGTATATTTGTAATATGACTTTAAGATGATAAATCTAAACAATGCAACTGAATTTTTCTGAATATTAAGCCAATGGCTCTGCATAGCAATTTCCCTTAAATCAAAATTACAATTTTGTACCTTTTCCATGATGCAGAGAATTCAAATGTGAAATACGTTACTTTCAAAATTCACTTCAGTCATTCCATTTTAATCAGTGATCCATTTATAAAAAGGGCAATAAAGGGACTTCCCTGGTGATCCAGTGGTTAAGAATCTGCACTGCAGATTCTGCACAGGAGATGCAGGTTGGATCCCTGGTTGGGAAGCTAAGACCCCACATACTGCAGGGCAACTAAGCCCACGAGCCACAGCTTCTGAGTCGATGCACTCTAGAGCCTGTGTGCCGCAACAGAGAGACCCCGTGCAGCCCAGAAAAAGGGGCGGGGGGAGGAAAACACAGTTTTTCATCTTTGATGGCATCCAGCAAGTTGAAAATAAAATCACAGGGATTTCAGTAAATAAAATGGCTAAACCTGTGGTGGTATAAACGTACAGAGGGCTAATCAGCCTTTTGATAAGGCAGATGGTGGTCAGACCCCGGACTGCATTACTGTTTCTCCTTCACTCTACCATCCTCAAAAGAAGGACAAGAGATATACTGGACAGAGAAATGAAACAAGAAAATATGGACAGATTTGCCAGGGTGGAGACAGGAGGCTTCCTAACTAGAAATAATGCAGACGAAAAGCATTTCTTGGCTTGTCAGAAAAGCATACTTTTTTACAATTGCTTTTGTCGCACCAAGTCCTTTTATTCCCTCTAAAGCTTTTCCATACTTGACAATAAAGTGTTGAGGTAAGCGGTCGACTGCCCAGAACAGTGGTACACAAAACAACCCTGGAACTTTAGTGTGCATCAGGACTACCCAGAGGGCCTGTGTAAAAGATACTGCTGGTCTGCAACCTCAGATTTTCCAATTCAGTAGGTCTGGAGCCTGAGACTTCAGCACTCTAAAGAAGTTCCCAGCTGAGGCTAATATTGCTGGCCTATGGAACCACTGGCTTGGTAGTTTAAAAATAAAAGCACGCTTTAGTCAACTCTAAAGTGTTACCATACTCCATTCCCATTAGACTGTAAACCTTTTGAGAGCAGCCATGCAGTTGAATAATCTCTGTATATCTCAAAAGATTTAACACCACACCTTAAACACAGCAGGAGTTCACTGAAATGTCTCAGACCATCCCTACCAATAGCTCATACTAACTCTACTGTGCTGATATGGAAACAACTGCTTTGAAAAAAGCAATTGGAAATCAAAGCAGGGACTTGCACAGATATTTTGCACACTCATGCTTACAGCTGTATTATTGACAAGACTCAAAAGGCAGAAGCAATCTCACATGCTGTGTAGCACAGCCAAAAGATAAAAAATAAATAATAAATACCTAAGGTGGAAGCACAGGGTCCATTGACAAATGAATGGATAAACAAAATTTGGTATATCCATACAATGGAATATTATTGAGCCTTAAGAAGAAAGGAAATTCTGACACATGATACAACATGAATGAACCTAGAGTGGATTATGCTAAATTTAATAAGCCAGGCACAAAAGAATGAATATTTTATAACTCCACTTATATGAGATGCCTGGAGAAGGTCAAATTCATAGAGACAGAAAGCAAAATGGCTGCAAGGACTAAGGAGTTCTAGTTTAAAGGGGAGAGTTTGAAATGCAGAAGACTTTGAAGATGTTTTAAAGTAGGTGGTGGTGATGGCTGCACAATAATGTTACTCATCAATGTAATTACGGCCGGAGTACACTTTAAAATAGTTGAATTTTATGTTATATTTGACCTCAATGAAAACAACACAAAATAACTGGGTATCATAGCTTTTCATAAGCCCCCATTCTTCCCAATGCTTCCAGTTGTTACTTTTTAATTTGAATGTTCGCATCATGTTATAACTTCACATTATGCAAAATGTGATATGGTGATGGTGGAGCTGCTACACAACGTATCAACGTAACAGGCAGCATTGTGTGGTGGTTCAGAAGCATAAGCTCATAGTCAAACCTGGAGCTGGGTCTGAATCCCGGCTTCACCACTTGACCTGTTCAGGGTCTGTATCTTAGCTTCTCCATGGGCTTCCCTGGTAGCTCAGCTGGTAAAGAATCCGCCTGCAATGCAGGAGACCCTGATGCAATTCCTGAGTCAGGAAGATCCACTACAGAAGGGATAGGCTACGTTCTCCAGTATTCTTGGGCTTCCCTTGTGACTCAACTGGTAAAGAAGGCGCCTGCAATGCAGGAGACCTGGGTTCGATCTCTGGGTTGGGAAGATCTCCTGGAGAAGGGAACAGCTACCCACTCCAGTATTCTGGCCTGGAGAGAAATTCCATGGACTGTATAGTCCATAGGGTTGTAAAGAGTCAGACACGACTGAGCAACTTGGACTTAGTTTAGCTTCTCCATAGGTAAAACTGGAGTAATCAGAGCCATCTATCACAAAGTTATGTGACCTGCTTACAGCAGCCCTGGTGCACAGTAAGTAACATTTACGTGAGACCTACCATCAGTATGTTATAGACCATAATTTTCTCAGTAGGGCACTGTTCCTCAAAGTGCAGTCAAGAATTATCTGCATCAGAATCATCAGGTAGCTCATTTAAAATGCTGATTTCCAGGTCTATCCCAAATCTTCCAAAACAGAATCTCTGGATAGAGACTGCCCTATATAAAACCTACTGCCGCGAGGCAGAAATAGTCAAATGGCAATGGGAAGCCCCCGAATTCAGATAAAGTGACCAGAGGCCATCCAAGGGTGGGAGCCAGGGGCACTGGCCTAAGGACTAACTCTCCCAAACTTTCTAGATGGTAAAATCACGGAGAATTCTGATCCAGGAGGTATGTGCCCTTCCTGCAAATGTCCCAAGAGAGACTTATGAAAGGAGTTTAGCAAACAGTGCCCTAGAGATTCGTTAGATTTCTAGTATTTTCCAGTTCTGCTTTAAATGTCACGAGAGGACCTGTACTCCAGGGAGTTCAAGGTACTATAAGTGAATCTGTTGATTCAAAGGCACTTAAGACTGTGCAGCAGGTCATAAAAGAAGATGCAGTTTCATTCTCTGCCCCAAGAACTTGCTACATGATGAACTGTAAAACCCATACTCTTATTATTACTTGGAATTGCCTGGAGTTACCTGGAATTTTAAGTCGTCAAGCAAGTCACAGACTTTAAAGCTAGTCTAGAGGAGTGGTTGTCAAGACTCAGTGGCATCAGCATCAAATTGTTAGGAATGTAATCAGGCCTTACCCCAGAACCCCTGGGGGTGGAGCCCCACGATCTATAGTTTAATAAGTCCTCCAGGTGCTACTGATGTTCGCTCAAGTTTGGTTCCCACTGACCAAGCAACTAGATTTCCTTCAGCAGTTTCTCCACCACTCCACTGCTGAATACTTCCAGCACTTTCCCTCCCTCCCGGCCCATCCTCATCTCCCCTCCTCAACCCATATCCACCTGAGCAAATACACAAAAATGATCTGCACATCTCAAAAAGAACGTAAAACTTTATTAAGAACATTTTATATTGTCATCAGATACAACCAAAGAAAAGGGGGTAAAGAAATAGGGAGACTTCATCCTCCCATGTGCTACTGCCACCTCAGAACAGACTCATGTGTAGATGGCTGGAATTACAGATGGCAACAAATGCTCTGCATAAATAAATTCAGTAAGTAACACAATGCTCCCTTCCTATACAGAGAAGAACTGATTTTACACTTTAAAAAGCTGTGATATAGTGCAACAACTAAGACTGCCACTTAGAAGCTGCTTCTTAATAGCATACAAAGTGGTTAAGTAGCTTTATGTTATTTAATATAAATTTTTTGAATGGAAAATTCAGAAAAGACATTCTAACTTTCCTAATTAATTTGTACTTTTGAGAGCTTTCTGAAGATTTCTCAGAACCAGTTCAATAATAATAGATGAGTTGCTCATCTACAATGACAACTGACAACCTGGTTTTATTTTAATTTTGCAAATCAAGATGACCAGGTCATCTCAGCTTTTGCTGATCCTGAAAGAGTTCTTATAGAAAAACCCTGATTCAGAGTGCATGTGAGATGAGGTACCAAAATAGCTGCACCTGGACTGGTTTTCCTAGAAGGGGAGGTTGGCTATTGAGCACAGCTGATTTTCCCAGACTCCCAGGCTCCCCCATGTGGTTCTTTTACTTACTGTATTGACAGAAGGAGCAGAGGGAACACCAGGGAATCTGTTCAAATTGCCACTCCAGACAGCTCTCTGCACTGTTTGTGGAGAAAAGAGTGATGGTATCCATTCAAACCAAATATGCCTACTGCAAGTATGGTGACATGCTTTTCTCTTGAGGGGCCAGGCCAAGCTGCACTCAAAATGCATGATTTGCCTCACGTACACAGTTAAGAAAATGTTCATGATTTAGAATTTGGTATTAGAGAACCCCCAGCTAACCCAGCTAAAGTTTCTTGAGAAACTTTCATCCCCCTTTTAGAAAGGAAGGCTATTTACTGCTAAGGCTTACCACATTAACTATCAAGACTTCTAAACCAGTGGATTTATGGTCAGTGGATTAACCAACAACTGAAGGCTTGTAAAGACTTGGTCGAAGGGTGAAACTGGGGGTAGGATTCAGGTTGAGTACTAATACTTACCACAAATTGCATCAAGCTCTTTAAAAAAATAATGCATTTTTATCATAAATATTTAGAGCAGATACTGGCATTAAAATCAGTATCTAAGTCAGAAGTCTTTCTTAAATATTTCAACAAACTTCTAGTAGGTTTCAAATCTTCCCAGGAGTACATAGTTTATAAATTAGTATTAAATGGGAAAAAAATGTATTTTGAGTAAGTCACCACTTTAGTAGATCATAAATAAGGTCAAGATGCTAAAAAATAAGTTAATACACAAGTTTTTGCTTTCACTTTAACAAAGTGGCATACTTTTGTAACAGGTATAACCAGGTTTTAATAATCGTGAATTTGTCACAGCCTCCACTCCCACACTGAATCTTTTTCTTACATATCCTACAGCTAGGGACAGAGGTACACAAGACAGAGAGACACCCCAATGTGTAATGCTGCTTCACACCATTTCCTTAGTGCAGAGTGATGTTACAAATGCTGGTCAGGATCTACTACTCGTAATCTGTCAACCACATTACAAGTTCAGTACATTCATGGTTAAGTGGATTCGGTTCCTGGGTGAGCTCTCTGTGGGAGTGTTCACAGGGAACCTAACTACTACTGTTCCTGTGGGAAAATGTGCCCCGAGTCCCAAAAGTTGACTAAAAACCTTTGGAATATAAGCCATGTATGGATGGGAACTACTACTATGTGTGTCTGTTTTGGAGAGGCCAAACCGTTAAAAGCACCGTTCTGAAAACTACTGGCTGCTAAAATTAAATATTGGCTTTCTCCTTCATATATAGTAAATTCACTTTAACTATAATTTCTAATACTGAGAAAGAGTGAAGCCATTCAGACTAGTGAGACATAACTGACCTGTGGGATTTAAAAAGCTGTTTTATTGACTAAGATGAATCTTCTTACATCAAAAATAAAAATGTCTAATATGTAATGAACGAAAAAAAAAGTTTATCCTAAGTAATCACTGAGTACAAAATCCACAGCTTACCAGTGTGATTTAAAGAGAAAGCAGGAGAGCATGCAATTGCTCTAACACAGGGTTAGAAATAAAAGGTAAAAGTACATTTGTTTTGGTAATTCTAAATATACAAATATAATATTTACCATATTTACCCTGTAGTGTAGGACTGCTTAATTCCCAAATATACGTAATTCAAAAACCTTAAGGAAACATTAAAAATGTTCCAGGCTACTTTACTGAACATTAATGAATATTGAGTTCATGAGATATTAGAGCTAAAAATACTACTGTTTTTTAAAGTTAAATGGCTAAGAGAATATTAAGGTACCATTATTCTACTCTTCTTTTAATCCCACAGATGGCTTTTTATGTTAAAGGGATCAATTATGTTAACAGGAGCTTGATTTGACAAACAGAGATTCCAGAATCAGAGTTGTTCTCTTAGTACAATGTCAATTTTTCTTTTAACATTTCCAAAAGCATTTTCATAGCTATCTACCTAAATAACTCTAAACAGCTTTTAATCAAGGGGTCCCTATATAACACTCCTTTTATCCTACACTGTGGCTGTTGGGATGGAACCCCTGTTGTGGGAAAGTTCTCTAGGTTCTGATCTGACCCTCAAAACAACATCCATGTTTAGTATAAAATGACCAACCCCTGGGGAATAAGGAATCTAAGGTGTTGAGAGGCACAGAACTGATGTTTTGGTTGAGGAGAAGGGTGAAAATCAAGTTGGAACACCTAGTCCCTTCTACAATCAAGTCCTAACTATACCATAATAAAGTCTCAACCAACCTGATTAGTTCTTACCCTTTAGGAATCACATATTATTCACTGATTAGATACTGAAGAAAATGAAGAAAAACATTTGAAAATACATGAAGAAATAGAAACATGGAATTTCTCACAAGGCCCTGGATCAAAAAAATTTACAAAAAAGATCTTCTGAAAATAATCACTACTTGTGAGCTTAATACACATAGAGATTCACTTTTAAACTAAGTCATGTTAACTTACCAATAAAATAGTAAACAAACCAACATTTTAAACAATTTTATAAATTACTTGTCATTTCTTTTTGTTAATGTCACTCTCTCAACAATATACAAAAATAACACTACAGCACTATCCACCTAACCTGTCTCCATCTCTTGCAAAGTCCTGGGCCCTGGAAAGAGACTGGTCATCAATCTTCACTGTAGATGTCCCCCGCAAAGGGCAGGTGCATGTGGCTGCCAGTGACATTGGGCAATCGAGATAAGTCCGGCAGGCTCTGGATCCGGGACCTGAGTTCTTTGCGCACCAGGGAAACTCTGGCTAACTTGCGCTTGTATTCCTGTAACATCAAACCACTCTCATTAGCACTGTGGGAGTTCAGAGAAGAGCCATCTAGCTTATCCAGTTAATGCTCTGCAGAAAATATGATAAAGCACTCAGTTTATGCTGAAAAACAAGATTATGTGAGCCTTAGGATCAAGAGAGGGATTTGGGAAATTCTCAAGTAGGGAAACTCAATCTTAGGAAAAACTACAATCTTAAGTTGCCACCTCACACCTGTAAAAAGAAGACTAACATATAAATATATCAATATTTAACTGAAGCATATAGGGTTCTCAGGTATACTGGGGCAAGGATAAGAAAAAGTATATATTTATTTCCACAAGCTTAAACTAAAATTTAGCACTGTTTTTGACTATAAATATTGGCAAAAAAAAAGCCACAGGAGTATTATCAGTATCTTTGAGTTTATCTCGAATAGAAACCAGATGCTTCATTATTACATCATAGTTTTTCACATTTATCACTACTTTGAAATTATTAGACGAACTGCTAGTGTTACTTAATGTATCAGTAGAGAAGCATGTATTACTCTACAAGTTTTATTACTTCAATAACTATTTCACTATAACTTTTTTTTATTGTAATGTTATGCATTTTATTTTCTACACTTAAAATATTTAACTTGAGAAGGGGTCCAAGGCTTCACAGGATCACCAAAGGATCTCAATGGCACAAAAGGAGGAAAAAAAAAAAAAAGGTTAGGAAAGCCTGCAAACAGCAGCCTAAGGCATCAGACTAGAAACCTATAAAGATCATGTTTGGCTTAGGGGGAACAGGCCATTCTCTGCAGTGGAAATATCTTTTATTAATAACTGAAGTTTTCAGACTTCAACCAGGAGAGAGGAACATTCTTTACTCCATCACCTAGGAGAGGCAGGGTGTTAAGAGGGGAATCAAAAAGTTGACTGTTATTTCCTCCATAAAGGCTTGAAACTTTTCCTCCCTCTGACCAAGGGTAAGCTCACCAAGACAGAGCAGGTGAGTGAGAAGCTTTCATCTGGGGTGGAAGGCCTATCCACAAGGAGCCCCTTTTTGTTTCTCAACTCTGACAGAATCTCCTAGGAAATTTTTGGAGCAACTCATAATTCTCAAAAGAACACCAGCCTCATCAACCATCAATTAAATGAGAAACTCTGGAAGCAGGTCCAGAGCTCTTGAATTTTGTAAAATCTCCCCCAAAGGATACTAATACATGAGCCACTTCTCTACAGGTTTTGTCTAAAAATGAAATCAGGGAAGCTTCTCTGTATTAAGAGTCCCCTCTTTTAAAGAGCAGCCATGAATCTGCCTGGGGAAAGGAGTCTGTCAGAATTTACTACATCCCAACCGCTCTAAAGCAATGGGGGAAAAGGGGGTTTCTGAGGCACACTGGGGAAGTGGGCACCCTGGTAGACAAAGCCAACGAGGCTGAAAGCCGGGCATGTTGTGGGACAGCTGTGGACACACAAGAGGTGTTGATTCTCGCCGTGTCTGCCTGTCCTTGCACTTTTAATCCATCATGAAGGTAAAGGTTGAGTAAGGGAGTTTAACAGGGATCTGAAACCTCAAGGTTAAGACTTTCCTGTTCCCCTTTCCCCTTTGCCAGTGACACCCTGGCACAGCAGGTAGGTTTCAGGACAGCAGCTCCGAGTGGCTCACAGAAGAGCAGCAAGGTGTTCATTCTAGATACACACTTTTCAGTCCATACACATCTCCACACTTAGCACACTTCCTCAGAATACTCCGGTGGGGGCGGGGGCAAACACAGGCCTCCATCTGTCCTATCTGCGTGCATGCTCAGTTGCCTGACTCTTTGCGACCCCATGGCAGTCTCCTGTCCATGGGATTTCCCAGCAAGAAATGGAGTGGGTTGTCCTGCCCTCCTCCAGATCTTCCTCACCTAGGGATAGAACCCATGGCTCCTATGTCTCCTGCGTAGCAGGCAGATTCTTTACCACTGAGCAACCAGGGAAGCCCCCACCTGTCCCTCTGTTTATACTAAATCATTCTTTAATAAATAACACCTAAAGTACTCCAAGGTTAGCACGATAGATTCAGATGCTGTTCAAACATGCACAAGAGTAATTACTCTGCTCCTCTTGAGGCTAGATGTCCTGAGAAGTCTCATGTGCCTTTAGTGATCATTACTGCCCATCCTAATTTCAAGTTTCTAGCAACCACACAGGCTGTTCTTCAGTTAAGATTTATCTTAATCCTTTGATTCAAAGGATCTGTGGCAATTAAACCCTCTACCAACTGGTGACACTGCATACAAAAAACTGGTAAACATAAACAAGAGCTGCCCTTTACTGAATGTCCATTGATACACCAAGCATTAAAAAAAGAACTCATTTCATCCTCTCAGTAATCCTGTGAGAAGACTGACTATCCTTCACAAACAGTAAAAATCAAGCTTTCCTCAATTAGGAACAAAAGTAGTAACCAAAAATTTTCTTCTACAGTCAGAATCAGACTTTCATCTGAAAGACAAAAGATTTAAGAAGTTGTGGTTAACCATCTGATGTTAGCCTGAAGAAAAAACCAGATGAAACCTGATTACCCAATTCTATGATCCAGGCCACAGTTCTAAAGGTCTTAAATTGCCTCACTGGATTCCACAGACCGGTTTCCTATGGCAACGATGCTTCTAGTAAGAGGTGCACGTTGTTTCGAAACTGAGGCTCTACCTCAGACGTGGAGGCTGAGAATACTGGGGCACCAATAACTCCTGCCCACCGCCCCCACCCACCCCCTAACCGCCCCATCCCCACTCCGTTCAGGAGGTGGCGGTCTTCACAAACAGCTGAGAGGAACACAGGACGCTGCACCCCTCCCCTTCACTAGAGCTCAGGTCCTATAGCAGGGGGAGCACTTAGAGAAAAGCCTGCCACTGTCTCCATCCATAGTTCCCCAGTCCTGACTCAAAGACTTTATAGGAGGAAAGAAACAGGCAATAAAACAATGCCCTCCTGGGGTCAGAACAAATACCTAACACTGACCTCAAAACAAAATCAGTATCTGGAGACGACTGCTGCACTCCCATGTTCATCGCAGTGTTGTTCACAATAGCCAAGACATGGAAACAACCTAAGTCTCTGCCAACAAATGAATGGGTAAAGATGTGGTACATATGTACAATGGAGTACTCAGCCACGAGAATGAAGGAAATTCTGTCATTTGCAACAACCTGGGCAAGGCTAGAGGACACTGTTGTTGTTTATGGTCACTAAGTTGCGTTCGACACTTTTGTGAACCCATGAACTGTAGTCTGCCAGGCTCCTCTGTCCATGGGATTCTCCAGGCAAGAATACTGGAGTGGGTTGTCGTTTCCTTCTCCAGGGGATCTTCCCAACGCAGGGATTGAACCCAAGTCTTCGGCACTGCAGGTGGAATCTTTACCATTGAGTAAAAAAATTAGTCAGACAAATACTACATAATCTCACTTATATGTGGACCCTTTAAAAAAAAAAAAAGATGAACTCACAGAAACAGTAAGAGCGATGCTGACCAGGGACTGGGGTGCTGGGCGGGGGGACATGGGAAGATGCTGGTCAAAGGGTAGAAACCTTCAGTTATAAAATGAATATGCTCTGGAGATCTGATGTAGAAATGCTGACTAGAATCAATAACACTGTGTACACCTGATATCTGCTGAGAGTAGACCTTGTGTTCTCATCACCAAAAAGGAGAGAGAAAAAGTAATGATGTGTAGTGAGGAATATATTAATTAACCTGATTGTTAGTAACCATTTCACAAAGAATACTTATGTCAAATCATCCCACCATACTCTGTAAATATATACAATTTTATGTGACAGTTTCATCTCAATGAAGCTGAAGTTGGGGGCAAAGAAATATCTTTTTATTCTTAGTTAAAAAAAAAAAATTACCCTAAGTATGAAAGGGAAAACACAAACATGGACACAGCAGGATGCATGCATCAGGGACAGTCAAGAGCTTGGGTAGCCTAACCTGATAAGCCCATCAAGAGGCAAGGCCACTGCAGTTAAGTCCCTTTTAGTTCTCTTATTCTTTTCTAACTAAACCTGCATTTTGCAAAAATGACTTTCAAAATAATTATTTTGTATTTTAACCTAAAGAACTTTTTTCCTAAAAGAATTTAGCTGTTCCAGCAATGAAGAGGGTCTGAATTCTAAAGTTAACAAAAAGAGAGAAACTGCTGAAAAGCGAAAGAATTAAAAAATCAGGCCCTTTCCTTTAGTAATAAATACTGAACTGATATATACTGCCTTCACTGCAAAAGTACAGTGTTCTATTTTATGTTTTTAAGTCTTTATTTTTATTTTTAATTGAAGTATAGTTGATTTATAGTTGTAAACCCTTGTACACCAAAAATGATTGTTATATAAAAAGATATAAAAGAATGTATCTATATCATGTTCTTTTTCAGATCCTTTCCCATTACAGGTTATTTTAAGATACTGAATACAGTTCCCTCTGCCATCCAGTAGGTCCTTGTCATCTACTTTAGATATAGTCATCTATATCTGTTCATCTCCAGTTCCAGACTGTCTCTTCCAGCCTTTCCTCCTTTGGTCTCTTTTTTCTTTTGTTCTCTTCTGTGATTTGTTGACTATCTTCAGTACTTTTTTGGATTACTTCTTGTTTATATCTATTATACATTTCTGGGGTTTGCAATTACTCTGAGGTTTTGGTATAGTAGTCTATACACTGATCTTTTAATATCAAACACATTTTAAATACCCTCCTTCCCTCTCGGTTATATTTTGCTAACATATTTTACATCTAATTGCTCTGTGTATCCTTTAACTGCATACTGTGGACACAGGTGATTTTACTCCTTCTGTCTTTTAATCTCCTTTCTAGCTTTGTGTGTGGGTGATTTCCTTAATCTTTTACCTGTGAGCTTTTTCATCTCTTAAGTTTGTTTCTAGTTGCGGCCTTTTCTTTTTCAGTTAGAGAAGTTCCTTTAACGTTTTTTGCAAAGCTGGTTTGGTGGTGCTGAATTTTTCTACCTGTTATTTGTCTATAAAA